TCATGGTATGAAAGATTCGAGCTATATTGCGAATTAAATGAGATAAGTGAGCCAGACGAAACTCAACAAGTCAAAAAGAACCTTTTCTTAACCTCAGTGGGAAGTAAACATTATAATATACTCCACAGATATTGTTTGCCTAACAAACTAAAAGAAAAAACATTGCAAGAACTTACAGGCATTCTGTTAAATAGGTACGAACCTCAAGGTCTAGTAACAACCAACAGATTTACTTTTAGTAGAAGAGATCAAGGCCATAACGAAACCATAAAAGAATATGTAGAAGCAATACAGGGGCTAGCTATCAAATGTAACTTCCGAGATATGATAGAAGAACAATGTAAGGATAGGCTAGTATGTGGAATACAGAACGAAAATGTCAGGAGGAAACTTATGTCGGAAAGGAACCTCACATTCGAGAAAGCAAAAGAAATAGTTTTTCAAGAGGAAGCAATTTCGGAATATGCTAAGACCTTACAGCAAAACAGTCAAATTAATAAAGTTGAACCTAGAGAGAGAAGTAACCATTACAAAAGTCAAGGTATGTCCAGTCAGTATAACAGTCAAAGTCCATACAATAAGTCCAGTCAAGGCACAAGTCAATATAACAGTCCAGGTCCATACAATAATAAGTCCAGTCAAGGCGCAAGTCAGTATAACAGTCCAGGTCCATATAATAAGTACAGTCAATGTCAAGGTGCATGTTCATGTTTTAATCAGTCCAACCCTAGAAGTAGAGGTCAAGGAAGTCAGCCAAAACAAGCCCAAAATAAAAACTGCTATCGCTGTGGAAGAAGACATGATCCAGCTACTTGTCCTGCTCGATTCTGGATGTGCTACAAGTGCAATAGGAAAGGTCATACAGCACCTGTTTGCAGAGGAAGAATTAAGAATACTGAAGATATGGCAAATATTCATCATCAAGTCGAACAGGAGGAATATGACAGTCAAGCTGAGCAGTATGAAAATAACCAGGAAGACGAAGAGTTATCGGGAATACTTAATAATGCAACAATTTATCAGGTAAAGATTATAAATTCTACAATCTTGGAATCCCAAGTCGAGGGACCAGTTAAAAATGTAACTTTTTCAACAAATGTAAAACAACCTAATGTACAGTCAGCTTCTAAATCACTAGTAGGGTCTAAAAGTAAGGGTTGTGAGTCAGTCATTAAGTCAAAAGGTCATAATAGTTTGTCACTTAACGAATATACTATAAATCAAAGTAAACCAGAAATGGTATGGGTACAGCTTGACGGTAAAAATATAAAAATGGAAATTGATTGTGGTGCAGCATTATCTATTGTTCCTCATAAATTATTCACCTCAATTTTCCCAGGTCGAAAATTAGACCCCAGTAATTGTAAACTGTCATCGGTATCAGGAAAAATAAAAGTAAAAGGTCAAGTCATGGTAAGAGTAAATAAATCAAATGGTCAAAGTTGTGTTTTACCTCTTATAATTTGTTTAGAGGACAATTTTGTCCCGTTATTAGGTAGGAACTGGTTAGATGAGTTATCTCCAAATTGGAGAACAATCAGTAAGATTTTCAATACAGTTAGTAACCACAAAATACATGGCACATTCACAGATACATTAAAGTCAAAATCAGTTACTAGGCTTAAAGAAGAATACCCAAAAGTCTTTAGAGAAAATGCAGAAGGGTTTATAGAGGGATTCACTGCTAATTTAGTTCTTAAAGATAGCGTTATTCCAGTCTTTCATAAAGCATACCCATTGCCTTACAGTTTGGAAGAAATGGTGAAAGGAGAGTTGTTAAGAATGGAAAAAGAAGGTAAGCTTAAACGAATAACCTTTTCGGAATGGGCCTCACCCATTTGGCCTGTAAAAAAGAAAGATGGAAGCTATAGAATTTGTGCCGATGTGAGCAGAACCGTAAATCCAAATCTCAAAATAGATATTTATCCCTTACCCAAAATTGAAAATATTTTGCAGGAAATATCAGGAAAAAAATACTATGTCGTCTTAGATCTGTCCGAGGCTTATTTACAGTTAAAGGTTAACCCAGGAAGTCAACAATTATTAACAATAAACACGTCTTTAGGGTTGTTTCAATTCACTGCTTTAATTTTTGGCATTGCAAGCGCACCATCCATCTTTCAATCCATCATAGATCAAATTTTGCTAGGGTTACAGTCAGTAAAATGTTATTTAGATGATATAATCATCGCAGCTAATAGTTTTGAGGAATGTTTAGATTTGACACATAGAGTATTACAACGTCTAAATCATCATAATGTCCGAATCAAAGAAAATAAATGTGTTTGGTTTAGTCATTCGGTTGAATATCTAGGCCATCTTTTGGATAGTGAAGGATATCATCCCACAGATACCAGGGTCAAAGCAATTTTAGATGCTAAGCTACCCAAAAATATAAGTGAAGTAAAAGCTTATACAGGTATGCTTAACTTTTACTCAAAATTCATGCCTCATATGAGTAGAGATTTAAAACCCTTGTATAAACTTACTGAAAAGGAAGTCCTTTTTAATTGGACCCCTGAATGTCAGAAAGCTTTCGAACTAAGTAAAAATAAATTAGTTAGCCACAATATTTTAATCCCATATGACCCGTCAAAACCCCTAATAGTAAGCTCAGATGCAAGTCCATACGGTTTAGGTTGTGTTTTGAGTCAGATTGTAGAAGGAACTTCCAAAAGAAGTATAGAGAGACCAGTAATGTTCGCATCCTCCACTTTAACTCCAACCCAACAAAGATACTCACAGATCGAACGAGAAGGATTAGGAGTAATTTTTGCGTTTAAAAAATTTTTCAAATACATCTGGGGAAGGAAGTTTAAATTAGTTGTAGATAACGCTCCATTAAAAAGTATTTTCAGCCCAAGCAAATCATTACCTATTTTAGCTACTGAGCGTTTAATCCGTTGGTCCTTATTTATTAGGTCCTTCTGTTTTGAGATAGAGCATAGGAAAAGTGAATTACTCTCCCCAGCAGATGCAATGTCGAGATTGCCAGGTGACGACCAATTAGTAGAACCTATCTATAACATTGCCATATTACCCAGTCTACCTTTAACAGTCCCTGATGTAGCTAAGGTTTCTAAGACAGATCCAGTAATTTGCAAAGCTATGCAAAATACACTCCATGGCTGGCCAAATTATAACAAAGATCCAGCTTTGCAACCATATTTTAACATCCATTCATATCTCTCCATTGAAAAAGACTGTCTTATGTTTGGAAATAGGGTAATAATTCCTCAAAGTCTTCATAAACGTGTCTTAGAGTTATTACACATTGGCCACCCTGGAATAGTAAGATGTAAAATGCTCGCGAGAGAAAACGTGTGGTGGCCCACATTAAATTCAGATATCACCTTGTTGTGTCAATCATGTCAACCTTGCACTATAGTAAATTTTAAGCCGGTGTCATCTGAGAAAATACCATGGCCAAAGTCTAAATATCCAATGCAACGATGTCATATTGATTTCTTCCGATTGGATAAAAATCATTTCTTAATATTAGTGGACTCGTATAGCAAATGGGTTGAGGTTTGGTTAATGTCGTCATGTAATAGTCTATCCACTCTCAACACTCTGAGAATGTTTTTTGCAACCGCAGGTCTACCTGTGGAATTAGTTTCGGATAACGGTCCTCCCTTCGATTCACATGAATATTCATACTTTTGTTCACAAAACAATATTCTAGCAAGTTTTTCACCACCCTATCACCCCGAAAGCAATGGACTAGCAGAGAGGAATGTCCAAACAATTAAAAAAGGCTTGAAAAAATTAATTTTGCAAGGAAAACAAACAAGCAGCGATTATTCTATAATTCAGCTATTAGCGTCTTTCCTACTTTCTTACAGAACAACTCCGACTACTGCAACAGGTCGAACGCCAGCTTCCTTGTGGTTAAATTTTGCACCACGTACGCATTTATCGCTATTAAATCCAAAATATCAATTTTCCGAAAAATCCGTTTCAAATATACCTTTTAGGGAGGGAGACAGAGTGTATGTCAGATTAACACCAAAAAGTTCAGTAGTTGCAGGAATAGCTGTTAAGTTACTTGGAGCCAACCGATATTTAGTCAGTATTGAGGGTGTTTTAAAAACCGTTAGCTTGAACCAGATCTCGCTTGGTTCATTACCAAGGATTGATGACTCTTTTAATTCACAAAAACAAAACCTTTCACCAACATTATCCATCGAGCCAAACACTATTGAAAGTCAAGCCCCCTCAAACAATAAAACTAAACCTTTAGTTAATGAAACTCCTGTAAACTTGGAACCCAGTTCAAAATCAAGCAGTCCCTTACAAGATTTAGAAGCTGAACTCCATAAAAATAGGGAAATTCTAAGACGTTCAGACAGAAAACTGAAACCAATTCAAAAATTAAATTTATAAGATATTAGTTCCTATAATCGTTCTTATGTTAATTAGTAAAATAATTACATTGTTAAGACATGCAACATGGTATGTACGTTTTGTTGTAAAATATTTGTTAGTTAAGATTGGATAAGTCAATTTCAGAATTCACCCTGAGAGGAGAAAGGTGTGGTGTCACAAGAAAATGCCTCATGTCAATTCTGAAGTTGTCACTTGTCGCGCTATGACGGTCCGTCGGTCGATTGTCACGGGCATTGTGATGGCATGTTGTTAATGTGAAAAATATAAAATGTTTCAATAAATCAATTGTTATTTTAATCATCGGATGTATCCCCATAACGTTTAGAACAAAACACAATATCTAGAAGAATATAAGAGATGGAAAGCCACTGAATTCCGTCAATTTCTTTTATATACAGGAATAGTAGTTTTACATAAAACAATAAAATATGATTTATATATTAATTTTATATCGCTTCATGTTGGTATTACCATTTTATCAAATAAGAATTTACAACCTAAGTTTTTAGAAAGTGCTAATCAAACTTTAAATTATTTTTTTCAAACATTCCTAATTCTTTATGGCAAAGAAAATTCATCCCACAATGTTCATAATCTATTACATGTAACAAATGATTCAAAATTGTTTGGTGTTTTGGATAAATATAGTGCTTTTCCATTTGAAAATTATATTAAACATGTTAAGAAAAAGTGACAAACCGCTACAACAAATCATAAGAAGGAAAGTGGAAATAGATGTTTCATTAAATAAAAGTAGGACACACAATATTTGTACTTACCCTCAATTCGAAAAGGAACATACTGGTGGTCCTACTGTACCTGGCACTATTTTTCAGTTTGGAAGAGGCTTATTTTCTAATGTTACTTTAAAAATAAACCGACCTGACAATTGTTGCTCTCTTAAGGATGGTAGCATAGTTCTCATACATAACTTCATTATCAGAAATAATATCAAATTTATCATTGGAAAAAAATTCAATAACTGTTCTGATTTTTACACAAAACCATGTTCTTCTGCCGATCTTAATATATATTTAGTAAGATTAGAAGATCTAGGACCCCTTCAATCATGGAATGTTGAAGAAATTAATTCAAAGCATATATTAATGAATTTAAGAGATCAACCATGTATCACAATGCCCCTTGTTCATATATAAATGTCTAGGTTTAATTAATAAGTTAATAAAAAGGGCCCACATAGAGGTAAAAACTGAAAGTTGATCGAACAAAACTTTTCTATTTTTTAAGTACATGTTACTTGTTTTCTTTCAGTAAATTTCATAATATATTTATTTTTGTTAATATAGATACAATTCATTAACTATTTAAATTCATCCTTTGACAATGTTTGAAATGCACTATATTTGTTTGTAAAATATTAGTCAAAAATTGTATAAGTATAAAATTAAACATAAAAATGGACCTTTTTTTAGCTTATTAAAAAATTAAAATGTATTTTTTTAATTTTAGTTATACTTTTTACAAAGTTATGTATAATTAGGGTTGTATATAAGTACAAAAAATTACTTTAAAAAAATAAAAACAAAATATTGATGTTTTGCTACTATATAAAAATTCATGTATAAAGTTAGTACACATTTTTATAGGTTTTTTTTTTTTCGTTATACCTAGAATAAAAAAATGAACGATCCTTCCCCTGTGAAAACTTGGACAATTGTCCACTTTATTGAGGTTGATAGTGTAGAGGTAGTTCCTACAAATTGGATCCAAAAAGATCTATGTTATTGGCCTCCTTGGACAAGAACAAAATTAACAGAAGCCATAAAAAACAGTGAGCCTTTTCCAGTGGCGAAGCGTCCATGTAACCACTGTTACCATTGGTAACAGTTAAAAATCTTGAAAATAGTTTATGACTAGGTACTGTAAAATAATTTTATTTTTTTTTTACCAACAGCAATATCATAGTAATTCAGTAAATAGATTAGCTCCACGAAAATAATACGCTCTATACTGTCCGGGTTATGCGTTTGTAGTTTCTAACTCAATGAATCAGCCTTCGCCTCGACCTCGACTGCATGATGTTACCACTTTCGTTTCTGGATACGCATACTCGTCCGTCGGCTACTGTCGGAGCCGGCTCGTATCTGGACGCGTACTTGCATTCTACAGCGCGAAAGCGTGGGCCGCCGCGATTATTATGTACGCTTGTTACCATTTTTTGTTTTGGTTACTCAGTATTTAAAGGGGTGGTCTGTGCTCAGTAGTACTCACTCGTTAGTAGTTGCTTTTAAACATGGATGAGTGCCGCTGTGTAATCGATCAACTACTTGAAAAGCCATTCTCCTTGTATCATTTTGCAGAAAAAAAGGAGATCATTGAAAATGGAAGACCAACACCTATTTTAAATAATTTTAAAAAAGAATCAAAAAAAGTAGTTCGATATTTTAAATTTAGTTGGTATAGTGAAAATTCTTGGTTATGTGGTTGCATGAAAAATAGACTGTATTGTTGGCCGTGTCTTTTGTTTTCTACAGAAAAAAATGGGTGGACTAGCAGCGGAGTCAACGATTTAAATAGTTTTAGAGTTCTAAAGAGGAGACATGAAATTTCTCCGTTACATGTGAGATGTGTAGCCAATTTGATCCAGTTTGGCAAAACAAGAATAGAAAGTTGTCTTAACCAAGCTTTTAAGGCAAATATTGCTAAATATAATGAAATTGTTAAAAACAATAGATATATCGTTAGCACACTTATAGATGCCGTATGTTATTTGGCCAAACAAGAATTACCGTTTCGGGGTCATTTTGAAGGGGATGACTCTGACAATAGGGGCAATTACAGGGAATTGTTAACATTAATTGCCAAAAAAGATCAAAAATTTTGCCAACATCTAGAAACGTCAACTGTTTTTTCCGGAGTTTCAAGTGACATACAAAATGATATTATTGAAGCCATATCTACATTTGTGATGGATGAAATTAAATCAGAAATTGCCGGAGCAAGTTTTGTAGCTGTTATATTGGATGAAAGCACCGATGTTTCAAACCAATCGCAACTTTCGGTCGTATTTAGATATGTTTGCCCCGACGGTGATGTTTGTGAAAGATTTTTGAAATTTGTCAATGTTAGTGATGAGCGTTCAGCGGGACCGTTATCGGAAATTTTGTTCAGTGTGTTAAATGAGTTTAAGTGCGGAAATAAACTAATTGCGCAGACTTACGATGGTGCGGCAGTAATGAGCGGGCAACACAACGGCCTACAAAAACTGGTTAGAGATAAATATCAAGATGCAATTTTTGTTCATTGTTATGCCCATAGACTCAATTTGGTTTTACAGCAATCAGTGGAACATATTAGAGAGTGCAAAATTTTTTTTCAAACTTTATCAGGGCTTGCTGCATTTTTTTCAAAATCGTCCAAAAGGGCCGCTGCTTTGGATAAATTAGTACAAAAACGTTTACCCAAAGTAGCATCAACCAGGTGGATTTATACTGGTAGACTCGTTGAGGTTGTTTCTTGTATTCGTTCAGAGCTTCTCGAACTATTTAAAGAGATGCATACTGACACAGCAACATGGGATGGAGAGACACGAATTTGTTCGAAAGGCTTTTACATTACATTGCAAGAATTTGATTTTAATTTCTTTTTAAACTTATTTGAGATTATTCTACCAAAATCAGAAATTTTGTTTGATATTTTACAGAAGAAAATGTATGACATTGGATTTTGCACGAGAAAAGTTAATGAATTTCTAGAATTTTTGCAATTAGAGCGGAAAAATTTTGAAAGTCTGTGGTTAAAACAAGAGAAATTTGTAAATGACGATGTATCCAACCCCAATAAGAGGCAACGAATTACAAATATTAACAATGATAAAGAGACGTCTTATCGGCGACTTTTTTTTTAAATTTTTGACACCATGATTATTCAACTTAAAAACAGATTTTCTGACTTAAAGCATCTAGAATGTCTGGCACTATATGATTTTGACAATTTCAAAAATTATGCAAAAAAAAATTCCAGATAGCGCCTTTCATCAACTTTTAAAGCTATATGGACAAAAATTTGACACGGTAAAGTTAAAAACAGAATTGACAGTTCTTTATAATGATCCAGATTATGTTCAAAAAAATTTGCAAGCATTTTATCAATATTTAAAATCTTCAGAGCTTGATAGTGCATTTCCGGAAGCTTTTAAATTGGCAAATTTATTTTTAACAATTCCAGCTACAAGCGCCTCTGTTGAAAGAAGTTTTTCAGCAATGAAGCGGATTAAGACATGCCAAAGAAATACTCAATTGCAAGATCGAATGTCATCACTTTCTTTAATTTCCATTGAGAAACGCTTTTTAAATGGATTAATGGCAAAACCCTCTTTCTACGATTCTGTTATTAACATTTTTGCAAATAAAGAAAATCGCCGAATCGACTTAAAATATAAACAATAGTTTTCAAAATATGTTTTTCCCGTTTGTATTATTTTTGTAGTAGAATAGTATGTTTGGTTTTTTTTTATTGTTTGTTTGTTGTTCTATATATTATTATATATATATTGTTTGGGAGTAGTCATTTGTTTTATTTTATCCCACACGCTTGGATTAGTCATAGCATAAGACGATGAGCTATATAAAGTGCCCCAATCCAGCAATTTTTACTTTAAATAATTTAAAAAAGTAAATAAAATACTTAAAATAAGCAAAAACTTATATATGGTAGGTTCAAAATAAACTATTTAAATAAGATTTTTCACATCTGGTTTTGGTAACACTTTAGAAAAAGTCACGCGTCGCCACTGGCCTTTTCATACCTGTTGGCCCATACACAGAATAAAACTCTTCAGAAATGCAACATTTGGTAAGAACTTGTAATTTTGTATTATTTACCATGTCTCAAATATGCTTATTTAAAAAAAACAATTACAAAAGTGACTAGTTTTTGTTTTTTTTTTATCTAATTACCTAACTAACTAACTTAATTTTTAGATGATTATTTAAGTTCTCGATTAAAAGCTCAAAGAGCATGTTTAACAAGTGACCTCAATTCCGAGAGTGAAGGGAAAAGAAAGAAAACTAAGAGAAAAATATTTCAATCTTCATCAGAATCGGAAGCTGAAGATGATTCTTTGATTCCTTCACCTCCAAAAATTTATTTAAAAAAAAAAGCAAATAATCCAGGTAACTTTTATTAGAGTATTGCAACAGCATATATTTACTGTATACATTGTTTATTTATTAAGGTGAACTTTCTTATTTTAGATCAAATAATTGAACAACAAAGGAGTCCTCTCAAAGAAAAAAGTCGTATTCGTGATACAGAAAATAGCTGCCAATTAGTAGCAGTTAGCGGTAAGAATTTTTTAAAAACATATCCATTATTAATTCTTTTCAACAAAGGATGTTTATCCATTATATTAGTAATAGTTAGTTTAAAGTACATAAATACACATATACACAGTCACAAATGAGTAGATACTAGATTATCAGAGAACCTAACGTGAAATTTTGAAACTACTACAAATTAATATTTTATTTTGCTTGAACATTGATATTAATATTAAAAGTTTTTATCATTCTGACATTCAAATGTAATATTGTTTCAGAATCATCTGAAAAACATTGCTGTTGCATAGAAATAAAACAATTATTAAGTAAGTTCAACATTTTTGTTTCAGTAATTAATACTAAATGTTTTAAACTTGAGATTTTGTATGCAATTCAAAGAATCCCTTTCTTATAGATGTATTGTCTGGTGACATAAATAAAAAAATGGCCTCATTAAAAGCAAATATGCTTCAGATTAGAGAAGATTTTAACACATTTTACTTTAAAAATAAACCGTCCTGACAACTGTTGCTCTCTTAAGGATGGTAGCATAGTTCTCATACATAACTTCATTATCAGAAATAATATCAAATTTATCATTAGAAAAAAATTCAATAATTCATATCAGAGATGTAAGAAATTTAAAAAAAAATGGATTGCTGTTTCTCACTTGGCCGCAACCTCTTGCCAATAAATTGTAAACAAATATATTATCAGTCAATGTATGTGTTCATAATGTATCTTAATAAAAAATAACTGTGAAAGAAATTTCTTCTATAATCATAAATAACGCGAATATACCTTAAAGTAGAAAAATTACCTTCTATAAAGTACTAAAGTACTATTAAAAGTACTTGTAACTTTATTTTGATAGA